ATATAATTTAAAAACATTTCCAAAAATTTAAGAGAATAGGGTTTCAATTTTCCTTATAAAGCGGCACGAACTTACTGGGCAACCCAATATTTTTCTTCTCCTGTCATAACGCTTAAATATATTCTAAAAGTTTGTCACGCCGAATATGACAGATACGTAATAACTAATATCAAATTTTGCTTGTCACAATATATACTAGTTTGGCGCAGTATTCCAGTATGTTTGCCGTAATATGTAAGTTTACCGGTTCGAATCTCAGGCTACTTTTTTTTCATTTTATCAATCACGGGGTTATTTTTTCATAACCAGTAAAAATTTGGTAATGTAAAATTTTGCTCGACAATTTTTTTTTATAAATTTCGCTGTCGGGTAGAAAGAAATTTAAATAAAGTTAACAACAATTAGGTCAGACCATCGCGGTTGAAGTGAGTGGGCGGAGCGTGGATTGTCTTTGCGGGTTTTAAGAATGGTACGCGCGGAAACTATACGTACAAGTGTTATCTACATATGTGTGCGCGCCCACGCACACTGGAATGTTTATTGCAATCGACCAAAAATTTCATGTAGTTTGGATATTGACATTCAGTTTTTTTTCTTTGTTTCTTAAATATAATCAGTATCAGTAAAAGGTAAAAGTAAAAGTGTTATTTTTACCGGTGCAAGTTTAACAAACATGAGTAATAAACATAATTTGTTTATGTCAATAGCATCACTTTATCTCCTTCATTTTTGTTTGAAATAGAAAAGTACTTTAACGGTCAAACTCATTAGTCCAAGTCAATATCAAAAAGTACCTAATAACTACGGCGATAGAGTTTACTTACATGTGCTTCGATATTAAAATTAAAAAGTTTAAATATCAAAAAAAAATAGTTGCTTGGGATTTGAACCGCCGAACTTACGTACCAACGGCGGCGAACGGTAAGGCCACGAGACCAAACTAGCATATATGATGACAAGCTTAAATTTGATGTTGGTTTTATCTACCTAATATCTGTCATCCGCGTCGAACACTTTTAGTAAATTTTGAAAAATGGTTTGATGCAAAGTGTCAAATGAATGTAACAGAAGTAGTTTATTCCAAATTGTATCACAAGTATATAGAGATAGAGTTCAATTTTGTCAAATGTACCGATATTTTTGCGCAACTTGACTGCTTCGTTACTTATGACGCTGTGGCTGCTACGATATTTATGAGCATCTTGCATGTACTCATATATTTGACGCTGTGTATGTACCGATGTATTTGAGCAGGGTGAATGTATCTATTATTTTGAGGACTTTTGTTGTACCGATATAATTGATTACTTTTGGTGTACCTATATATTTGCATATCTTGTCTGTGACGATCTATATGACGCTGACTGTACATTGTATAGTAATTATTTATTTGATCCCGAACTCCCTCCAACATTAACTATCTATACAAAATATCTACAGCACACTTATACATATAAAATTTTAATATAATATAATCAATTTATAATAAGTGTGCAAGAACAAAATATTATCTTGTGCTTACTACATTTACCGTGGGTTCCTGAGATCAAAATCCCCGTATAAAACATACTATTACCGCCTTGTGGGCGCTGCAGGTTATAGTAAAAGTTTCGTTTAGAATTCTCCGTTAATATACATATATAGGTCACAATAATTAATTAATTTAATTTGAAGTTATAGTGGTTTTTAAATATGTGAAAATATGGGGGCGCTACAAAAATATTTATTCTCAAAGTGGACAATAGACAAAATAAGTTTGGGAACCACTGTCTTAGATGAAGGAATGACAATTTTACAGAGAATTTGGGTCTCAGAAATCAACGGTTAGTTTGCTACTAAACACACGAACTGTTTAAATATGAAATCCTTGTGCATGCTAACCATTGCGCGTGAAACAACTACAACTAAAAACACCTATGTACCAATACTCAAACTGAACTTCAACGGAACACAACTAAAAGAAAACAAGCAATTTAACCAAAGAGAAAAAATAATCTTGAGTAAACTGGAATGAATATCTAAGTATTTCCAAGTAAGACTACAAAATCACAATAGAATGATCATACAAATATGCTTAACCATATTTATGTCTGGTTTCTGAAGTCCTTTTAACCATTTCATAGAGATGGTTCAATAGCTTCATGAAAACTTGAGTTTGACTCCATTGAAAGTTTGTTCATCTTAACCTATTTACGATAGTAAATGGTAGTAAACAATAACAGTGATAGAGCCCGTTTTAACATCTTCGCACGAATTGTCCCGGCTCTCCCGGTGAAATATCACAATCTCAAAGAAGACAGGCGTCAAGTGGAAGAAATTCCGCGTACAGTCTGATTAGTGTGCGGCCCGGAGGTCTAATTTTGTCTTCTTTTTCTTATAAGGAAAGGATGGGAAGTGTAAGTGGACTTTCTGGATGAGTGGATGCATGGAAAGGGAAGACATTTTCTTTCAGTGCATTCTCTCCTCCGTCAATTAAAGGTAGGCAACACATATGCAATTGCGTATGTCTATGGACAACGATCACTTCGCTATTTCAGCGATTTCTAGTAGTCGCTCGCTTGTTTGCCACTTTATGATATAAAAAAACTGTATTTGACTTTTTTGGCACTAAATTGTTAACACAGCACGTAATTGCAAATGCGTATATTACAGCGATCCACTGGCAGAGACCTACTAATTAGCTTCATAACTATTAACGGGTTCTTAAATACTCAACAACAAAACTAAAGGTTATCTTGTTCACTATTAAATCATGAGGTAATGATAAAATGAATAAAAATATAAGAAACAGTAAGCACCATTCACACCTATCATCTATAAAATCTCATCTAAACAATTGAGAGACATAATTATGTGTGACTTAAAAATCTTTGATTGTTTAAAAACTTTTTCATTTTAACCAGTCAATACTTCTCAAACTCTGTTATATAACTCTGTTAGCATCATTTGCCCGTCAAATCCAGTTCTTATTTCCCTATTAATATGGAAATAACTATATTAAAATGAAAATCAAAGAGTAGGACACATATTCTACCCCAAACACAACTACTAATACAACTAATGGAATAAAAAACTTTGTACCAATATTTGAAACTAAAAAGACGAAACAAAAACCAACCAATGTAGCAAAACTGTGTGTTTAAGTGAATATTTGAACCTCTGGATTTGTTCCTAACACTCGGGGCGCGATGGTGGTGGGCTCTACCTGCGGCTCCGGCAACTGCTGGCTGGTCACCGTGCTGCTTACCTCGCGCAGCGGGATGCCAGCGTCCTCAAACGCCTTCTTCTTCAGCGTCCGCTTTATTTGGGAGCTGCAAGACAATTATTAGTAAGCAGATTGTTAAATAATGAATGTTTTTAAGAATTAATTGTGAAACATATTTACATCGTCCTGTTTTTAATATGCAGACTGAGTTGATTCAGATCCACTGCAAAGCGATGAATGCAGGCCCTCAACATTTCCACTTCCTCATCACTCCATTTGCCACTGAGATAACATTGAAATGAGTTAAGCAACAGTTACAAACAACAAAATAATGCATTCACTTAAATATTTTTCAGTGAAATATACCCAGGCTGTGCATCATTTACTGGGTGCAGCATCATTGTCATCTCTGACAGCTTTTTGAATGCCGTCCCAGCCTCGTTGAATATTTCAGCAACCTACAAAACATGTAAATCAAATAATTAACTATATCTGACTTATAACAAAGGTGCAATGTTATATAGAGGTCTACATCCACGGCTATTAAGAGGTGCTGCAAAAAAGTTGTACGCTTGTTTTTGTTTCTATGTAATTATTAACTAACGATTCGTTTTAGGTCTAATAATCAATCGATATTTAGATTTAATATTAGGTAAGTGTAGTGCATCAAAGGAATATTGAGCCAAGATGTAACATAGCGTCAATAAACGATTTATATTTGTCATATTTGAGAGTAAAGAATACTTACTTTTATCGCAGAATTATTCATGGTCGTTTTTCATCGAAGATTTAAGTAGGATTTTAGCAAGAAAACTGTTTAGAACTAAACGTAACTATTATCAATCGAATGAAAAAAAAATTCCAATCTTGATGCCGACTGTTTGACATTGACAACACGTTTGATAGATCATCAATTGTCAGAGCAGGGAGGCGGTCATTTCGTCTTTAAATCAATTTTAAACAAAACAATGTTTAAACACAACATTTTGTTTTTGAAAATATTACCATAAATTTTACATACATTAATTTTGATTTTCATATGAATAAAAATAATCGATAGAGATGTTTTATAAAAGTCATTATTTTAGATCAGATGTTAATTAAATGGATGATTACAGTATTTTAAAACCAAGTCCCACAACCACAGACGCCTGTATCGCTGAAAGTCCTGGGAGCGATGCGATCGCTGGCGTAGCGCAGGCTGGTGGCCGCGCCTGCAAAGTCCTCGCTGAGGATGGCAACGTCTCCGCCCCCGCACCCGTAAGCGACGGCGCCTGCTCCGGCGGACGGCACTGCGCCCTCGAGGTATGTAGTGCCGAGGAACGGCAACTGACCCAAGACTGCCACAATACCGGAATACTCGTTGTCCGACACTACCGACACGCCGTGGGGTGGCGTGGGAGACGAGCTCACCACAGCGAAGCCGCCACCGTCCGCTGCAGCGAGTGCGGCCGCGGCACTGTCTATTCCCGCCAATTGCGTCCCACAGCCGCACCCTGCGTTATCGCTTCGCCCGCCCCACGCGCTTCCCAAGACCCCGCCATACTGCTGGCTACTTAGCGGTAAACACTGACTCTGCAGACTCTGAAATTAATCAGGAAACAAGTCACATAAATATAGAATAAATATTCATTTTATAGTTCTTCTTTAGCATTAGAAAACTTTTCAAAATTCACATGTCTATTGTAAAGAACGTCGTCTTTTAAACTTACCGATACTAGAAATCCGAGAGCAAATAAAACCTCTGCAGTATAAACAGCCATGTTTGCTTCCAGTGCGCTCGGCTTTGATTGGAAATCTCCGGTGAAGTTATTGTAAGCTCACTCATCTAGTGTTTATATAGTCACAATGAATTTTGCAAATTTTCGTAAAGGGAAATGTTGAAATGTTAAAAATTACGAAATCATTTTCAATTACGTTAAAATTGCACGTTCTTAAATCTAAGAGAATTATCTATTACCTACTTTAACAATTTTTCCGTACGTTTCTATGACAAAATGGGGATAGTTAAAATTTAATCATTGTCACGTTGGTGTAGATAATCAATTTCAAACTCTAAATAAACATTGTATAAATAGTAGTAAGTAAATGTTAGTTGTATCATCATTCAGTCAAACAACAAACAGTCATGTCGACCTTCACACGCTGCGGACTTCTGGTGTGCTTCACTGTCTGCCTGCTTCAGGCAACACAAGGACAATACCTCTCTGGTGGTCTAGGTGTCGGATACGGCACCAACGGAGAATGCGGCTGCTCGCGGGGTCAGGGGTACAGTTGGCAGGGGCTGGGCACCGGCAGCGCATGGGGGGTACCGGAAGTAGTCGGCGGCTACGGGGGTGAGGGCGTCGGGGACTTGGAGGTCGCCGGTGAGCTGCCTGTGGCGGGCACCACGCTCGTGGCCGGCCAGGTGCCGGTGCTGGGCGCCGTGCAGTTCGCAGGGGAGGTGCCAGCCGCCGGCATCGTCACCATCACCGGCAGATGCGGCTGCGATTGCAACGGAAACGTTCTGTTCTAAACAACTAAGAGAAGTGTAATTATGTTCCAATAAAAGATCAATAAAAAATTAAGCGTTATTTTTCACTTTTATTTTACAATGAAGGTATTAATTATAATTGAAAAATTTTACAAATTACAAAAATTCGGAAGTCCATCGCCAGCATATAATGCATACCGTGAAATTTGTGACCAGTATTATATGGTGTTGCCATGTTCACTCAACTTCAGACGAAATCTGACATGAAAATCGGTGCCCACGATACAGGCATTGCCTAGTGTGGGCATCACTAGATTATCCAAATTAACCATAAATGGTAACTTAAGTCTAATTTAATTTCTTAGTTATGTGCAATTTTATTATGTTAGTTATTGTTTCTTGGTTTAATCTGTATTACCTATAATAAAAACTTTTCTTTTCTTTTCAAAAAAATGATTTTAATGAAAATGGTTATATAATATATCGAGGTTTTAGAAATGTGTAGGGAATAACTGCATCGTCATGGAGAACTAAACTCACATCGGTAAGGATAGACCTGGGAAAAGCCAAATGGATAGGTAATAATAATGGAGTGATGACTGAAGTGACCAATGATAAATCAATATGGGACACAAAGACATACAGTGGAATATGAAAAGGCATACGATGAGACATTTGTTTTTTTTTTTGTTTGTTTTGTTTAAACAAGTCAATGGGAGTTAATAGCGCTAAGGCAGCCGTTTCAATCAAACTATCGTTTTGTGAATAATTTGAAATTAATACAAATCATTCATGAGTGTCGTTAATTGATTGTTTTAAAAGAAAATGAAATAGTTTTAATATCAGAATAGTAACTGATCTATGTATAAAAAGCCGGAAATTTAGTACTTTCGGGCCACATTTAACTAATAATTAGATGATCAAGGCCGCGATCGAAAAAATGCTCTTCGTGATCACATGACTGAGAGATGACTGCTATTTGTTCCACTGTCTCGTGCTGCACTCGATGTGGCGTTTCATACCTACCATTTTGACAGAGTTACCGAACTCAGTGCCATTACCCAGTGAGCGTTATTCCCCTTGAAGAATATCGTCTTAGTAAAAGGAAATAAAGAAGTTAAGTATCAGAAGTTACGTCAATCAACTTAACTCTGAAGCTTACAAAACAACAATAAAGAAATCGATATTCGCAAAGAACTTTCAGTAAAGTTTTTTGTTCAATTTGATAATTAAACAATCGATTCTTTTAAATTTGATTGTAGCGACTGATAAACTATACTACACGTTCACAAGCCCGGAATAATACCAATAACTTTGAGGTTATCTCCAATGTTCATTGAGCTATTTATTTAAAGACGATGAAAAGAAAAGTGAGAAATAATGCTTAATATTTTATTGGTCTTTTATTGGAACAAAATCACACTTTTTTAAGTAATTTAGAACAGAACGTTTCCGTTACAATCACAGCCGCATCTGCCGGTGATGGTGACGAGGCCGGCGGCTGGCACCTCCCCCGCGAACTGCACGGCGCCCAGTACTGGCACCTGGCCGGCCACGAGCGTGGTGCCCGCCACAGGCAGCTCGCCGGCGACCTCCAAGTCCCCGATGCCCTCGCCCCCGTAGCCGCCGACTACTTCCGGTACCCCCCATGCGCTGCCGGTGCCCATCCCTTGCCAACTGTACCCCTGGCCCCGCGAGCAGCCGCATTCTCCGATGGTGCCGTATCCGACACCTAGACCACCAGAGAGGTATTGTCCTTGTGATGCCTGAAGCAGGCAGACAGTGAAGCACACCAGAAGTCCGCAGCGAGTGAAGGTCGACATGACTGTTTGTTGTTTGAGTGAATGATGATACAACTAACATTTACTTACTACTATTTATACAATGTTTATTTAGAGTTTGGAAATGTTTCTAATCAACGCATACGTGAGTGATTAGTTACTACTGACTTGTCGTCTTTGAAACTTTACAAAATTTAGCAAAGCAAGTGATATCAAGTTCACTTTTACAACATGTTGCAATATGCACTGATAGTAGATATATACAGTACTGTGACAATATAAATAACAAGAGTTACAGTTCACACTCATTCTGCTCTAAACATTCAATCAAAGTACCAACATTCAGTAAACAAAATGGCTTCAGTTATAGCAGCGCTTTCTGTCTTCGGATGTCTTGTGTCGGTGAGTTGAACTATTGACGTGTCTAATTACAATTAGAGGCATCTCTTCTTGTGTCATTTATTTAATATATTTATGTGTTCAGAGCCTGCGGGGTCAGTGCTTGCCGCTGAGTGCGCAGCAGTACGGCGGGGTTGCGTGGGGCGTGCAGGGCGCCAACCCGGGGTGCGGCTGCGGGGCACAGTTGGCGGCGGTAGACAGCGCCGCGGCCGCACTGGCTGCAGCGGACGGTGGCGGCTTCGCTGTGATGAGCTCGTCTCCCACGCCACCCCACGGTGTGTCGGTAGTGTCGGACAACGAGTACTCTGGTATTGTGGCAGTAGCGGGTCAGTTGCCATTCCTCGGCACTACATACTTAGAGGGCGCAGTGCCGTCTGCCGGAGCTGGCGCAGTCGCTTACGGGTGCGGATACGGGGATGTCGCCATCCTAAGCGAGGACTTTGCAGGCGCGGCCGCCAGCCTGCGCTATGCCAGCGATCGCATCGCTCCCAGAACTTTCGGCGAAATACGCGGATGCGGCTGCGGCATACTTTGAATATTTACGTCAAATGCTATCTAACATCAATTAAATAAAATTTAAATTGAAAGGTTCTATTTTATTTCCTTAAATATTCAATTGCTTTTGGTGAACAACGAAATAACGACGAGCAATGTTAGCAAAATCAATACAACCGCATGATTTACCATCAATCGACAGAATTCGCAACCAGTCACGTACATCAAAGTTATTGCATTTGGCACGTATCGCCTCACTAATCTTGTGACCGATATTATCATAGTTGCATACTGTGTATTAGCAAATTATTTAGTATATTGACAAATTACAATATTACTCAACTAATACTTATGAAGGCTTTGTGGAAGAATATAATTATTTGAGATTTTTACTTCACATCGCGCGTTAAGGGATTATTCGCACTTAATTTTCGTCGTTGTATTTGTCGAGAGCATATGCAACATTCAGCCAAAGACGTGGCATACTGGCCAGTGAACCTTTGCCTTTTTCACTATACAAAAGGAATGTAAATAGATAACCCGGTAAAGCACAAAATACTAAATAATACGTGTGAATAAAGGTGACGTCATCATTGTATAAAGAGACGTTGACGTGTATGAACTTGGAACGGCTGAATGGTTTCAAAATCGGCTTAGACATTATTCATAATGAATAATTCATACATCCCTCTCTGTCGTCAAACGCAACCCCTTCGCTTTCGTGCGATTTATTACGTGTTTTAAAGCAAATTATGAATATGTGATGAGACGTGCTGTATATTTTCAACGGTCTATCTCCTGTTAATTGACTCGTAGTGATAAACTTCATCTACACTTTGTTTTTGTAGAATATCTTAAAAATATTGTTAATAAAATAATTCTCTATATTACTAATATTATAAATACGAATGTTTAGATGATGGATGTTTGTTAGAAGGTATCTCCAGAACGTCTTAACGGATCGCGATAAAATTTGACATACATATAGAACATAGTCTGGAAGAACACATAGGCTACTTATAAAGTTTTTTCTTAATTTCGCGCGGACAGAGTTCTGGGCTATAACTAGATAAAGAATAAATAATAATTGTCTGTATGTGTTAATATATTTACATGATTCGAAAAGAATGTCACTCAACGAAAAGCGAAAGACTAATGAACATGAAATTTCTCTTTACGAGTCCTTTTTCATATCATAACGTATTTTTCAGTAATAAAAATCCGTCAAAAAGTTATAATATTTTCAGTAGCTTAAACATTATCGTAAGAAACAACGATATTTACTCGAAAAAATGTATTAACAGTGGTAGAGCCCGCTTTAACATCTTCGCACGAATTGGCCCGGCTCGCCCGGTGAAATACCACGACCACACAGAAGACAGGCTTGAAATGGAGACAATTCCGCGTTTCGTCTGATGAGTGTGCGTCCCGGGGGCCTAATTTAGTCCTCTTTCCCTTCCCACCTTTTTTCTTATAAGGAAAGGATAGGAGGTGGAAGTGGACTTTCCGGATGAGAGGACGCATGGAAGGGGAAAATATTTTCTTTCTGTGCATCCTCTCCTCCGTCGATTAAAGGTAGGTAACGCATATGCAATTGCGTATGTCCACGGGCAACGGTCACTTCGCTATTTCAGCGATTTCAGATGGCCGCTCGCTCGTTTGCCACTTTATGATATAAAAAAATGTATTATATAAAAATATAGAATCCAGTAAAATATTTTTGAATGTTCGTGCCAATACCAACTGATTTAGTTTATTATACTAAGAAAAAAATATGAAAGTAACGAAGTCTGAATAGACTTGGTTTCCTTTGTCTGGAGACAATGACCTTCTCGCACCAGACAGACCTAACAATAATATTTATATTTTTTGTCATATATTCTAACTTCTCTATATATATAATACTTCAATTGTCTACAAAGTTATTTTATTTCAAGACTTTTTGTTTGAGTGTTTTCCGGCGGACCGATTGGTTGGCCGATTAATCGGCCTATTAAATTATCCATTGGGCCGATTGATCGAACATAAGGAAAATTGTGTTCGTTTCGGTCGATTCTAATTGAAGCGTGTATTTGCAATAGTTCAATTGAAATTTCATAAAATCTAGTTACACAGTAACACCAAAAGAAACTAATAGTAGTCAGTTTTTTTTTTTTACGTTTTATAAGCCAGCGCTTGACCACGATCCCACCTGGTGAAGTGGAGACTTGGTCGAAAGATGGTACGCGCTAGCTTAGTAAGTGCCTATTCACTCTACTTTTTAGTTTTACAGTTACGAATTTTATTAGTTTTGAAAACAATAAATATTAAAAATGTAAGTAAAAACTTATTTTAATTTAACAAAGAAAACAACAAAGCCTTGCCAATAGAAGCTCCTTGAAAAGTCGTTCACTTCATAGATTAAATTGTCTTAGAACTCTTATAACTGAAGAAAATTATGCTCACTTTATAATACTTTACCTGAGAATTTCCACTGCGCTAACATATGTACAACACTACTGTCATCTCTTTTATACTCTTTGAAAAAAACAAGGATAACAATATGTTTCATTATAATGCGTTTTTTAGCAACACTAACAAATGGTTAATATTTTACTCTATCCCTTCCTTCCCTTTTTATAAGGAAACGATGGAAATGGGGGAATAGATTTCACGGAGGAGGGGATGAATAGTAAGGAGAAGTATTTTATATCTGTGCATTTCCTCTATTGATTAAAGGTAGTTTAACAGTAAAAGTAGTAAATTTACTATTGCGTTTGTCTATGGGCAGCTGTCTCTTCGCTACTTTGGCGAATCCATGTGACCGTTTTCTCGTTTGCCACCTAATAAAATTCAAGGAAGTTTACACAATCCATGTATAGTTCGGAATTCTCAAAACGCATTGAACCATTTCCTTTGAGCTTCGATTTCACGTGACCGTAATTATCTAGTAGAGTCTGCCATGACCTATAGGAAATCGTATTTTATCTTAAACCTATAGGAAACTTGAATAAGAACTTTTCGTATATGTTGGGAAAAACCACTATTTTAATTTTTAAAAATTGTCAAAGCATGTGTCCGATGTGTTGACCCTTTTCAAAATTTATCAACACACTGACATTTTGGACGTGTGGCGAGTAGTCAAATGTCAGCCCTTCACATCATCAAGAAGTTATTATTAAGTAAATAAAGGTTACCTAAGGAAAGATTTATTTGTATGAAAAATTATTTCGCTGTTGGGAAGCTACACTATCCTCGGTTGACATAAGCTATATTTATCGCTTGTGTTTTTTTAATTCCACGCAGCCGAAATCGCGGGCAACTACTAGTCACAAATATTTTTTATTGATGGATTTGACTCCTCAGGATCATTTTACGTAGATAACTTCAACCAGCGATTTTTTGGACTTTTATTACCTTTTTACTTATATCACTTTTCTATAAAGGCAGTAAAACCAATTATTTGTTATTATGAGTATTTTAAGACTAAGAAAGGTTACAGCGTAGAAAAAATGATATGAGACATCGTACTATTTATGTATCCACCTCTGACTAAGTTAACTTTCATATCATTGTAATATTGGTAAATAAAATAAAGAATGTAATATTCAAACCCTGTTAAAAATGCTGTCACTAAGTAAATTAGCATGTTAATATCATCCATTCAAAGCCTTCAGTGACCGCATTTCAGGCACAAAGGCATTTCAATTACAGTGACGCGCTACTCGGGCTACGGGCTACGGGGTGGCTACGCGAGGTAAAAGGTGAAAAACACCCGCAGGCTTTGATGTCCGGACCGTAAGCGGCCGAATTGAAAAATGTGCCGTGAAAATGTTGCCCGCCTTAATCCGAAAAGGCTCTATTCATGACGGCTAATTTAGTCATTGTTGAATTTTGGTATAGAACAGTGAAAAGTATCGACTCGTGTAAGGTAAAATATTTTTTTAAAAACAAAAATTTTAAACCGATTTTTAACATTTACTAACGATCACAATACGTGAATTAATATCAAGTCGAATAAGAAGTTTCATTCTTAATTCAAAAAAATACTCGCTTCTACATCTGTGTATACTCACCAACTTATAACCGCGTGGTCCAGGGCTTGTTATAATTATAAAAAAAACCGTGTAATATTCTAGAGTTTCCTGGTACTGCCATTTATGTCACTTTACATCGGCTGCAATGGTACAAAGTGCCTGTGAACTGTCCTTGCTTAGATTAATCTAGGAATTAAATTAATCTCGGATATCGTACCACAAGGTAACTCGACCGAGCTCACTCCAACGCAGTTTGAAGGCTGTACAACATAATACTGTTAAAAGTATATTACGATATTTCGTTTACTTAACATTTTTAATTTATTATCTCTGCGAACATATTTTTTCTAAAATAATGTTACTTTATTATGTAAACTAGCTGTTGCTTAATTTTATAAAAAATAATAATTAGTAGATCTATGTGTTCCTCAAGACTACGTTCTACATCTATGCCTAATATTACGAGATCCGTTAAGTCATTCTGGAGACATCTTATAAACATTCATCTAAACATTCGTATTTATAATATTAGTAAGATGTTTTTGCTACAACGGTGACTAGCACCAATAAGGTTTGTGTTCATTAAATACGATCCTAATAACTTGGAAATTAAGCTGAAGAGTCTAATGGGAACGCCGACTCGACCACAATTAGACTGAAAAGGATTCTCTTCCCTCATCTTGCGATCCCATAATAACATCCTACAAATCCCCAGTCGCCCCCGAGCTCGCGCGGTGTGCAGACGTGTTGCGTCAAACATAAAACCTTTATAAATCAGTGAATTTCGATTTTTCTGTGTGAAAATATTCTTAAAAGAAACAGTTTGAGTGTGTTTATATAATTACGTGTTTGTACGTGTATTTTTATTACACGGGTAAGTTAAAATTTTTAAAATAAGGTTACGAATATTATCCTTACTTGTTGCTGGAAATATCTTAACGCTACATAGATTTGAGATGTACTTGAAATATTTTATATTTATATATAATGTATGTATTGATGTTTTATATATGTAAAATGTTTG